GTCATATATTCAAATGTTGTTTCATGCCTTCCAATTGAAAGCTAATTATGTACAGTGCGGCGCATTTGAATAGGTTGGGCTTTGATAGGTTTTGTTGGTTACAAAAGTTATATCTCATCAACGAATGCCCCGATTTGCATGAAATAAATATTGTTTCATAAAACAAGTTACCAAGAGTTTTTCAGTAAATTTTTGTTTTTATTTGTCTACCTGTATAGAGCATATTATAGTGGAATTTTTCTTGATTTCACCTGCCGAGTAGCAAAAATGGTTTCAGCTGCTTTGATCTTGTTATTGCATATTTGTTCCGCCTTTCATATTTTTTCAATTATTTTCGTCATTACGAAAGAAATTCATTAAAATATTTAGACTGTAGCCAATCCTGTTATTGGGTTCTTCTTGGTATTTTTGCTCCAATTTGAATATAACCTTGTATTTTTCCGTTTTAAAACTCGCTAAACCGATTTTCACGAGTTACCTTTTGAAAAATAACAGTAATTGCTTAAAATAAAAAATGAATGTTCTACTTCTTCTCAGAATTATTCAAGTAAACCAAAAAAAAGAAAAGCAAAAACAAATAACTCATTTTTCGACATATTTTTGATAAACTAAAAAAATTAAACTATAGTAATATAACATTAAATGAAAGATTATAGAGCTGAAACTTTTTTGCTTTTTCATAATGTATATATAAAACAAAATTTATTTCATTCATTTTGTAATCAGCAAAAAAGTCCAACTTGTTACTAACATGCTCAATTTCGGTTTGTTCTTGTTGTTCATTGTTTAAGAAGAAGAAGAAATGGAGAACAAATAAACATTTCAATGAAGGGAAACAGCCAGCAGCAAGGAATGTGGTGAACAAAAATAGAAACAATCAAATTCATCGAATTCGCATTGCCATCGTCAATTGGCGCGTCCATTCAAACTGGTTCCGCTGCACCCCGCCCACAGCCTCCCCCGCCCCGTTCGCTGCTCTGGACTGTCGTTGAGAGTGTTAATTAAACTGTGTGTAGAATTGCTTAGCTTATTTTGAATGGACTCAGTGCAGGCGTCTCTCTCACACCAGCCACCCTCCCTCCCTCTCTCCCTCTCTCTCTCTCTCTCTCTCTCTCTCTCTCTCTCTCTATCCCTCTCTCTCTCTCTGCGTCTCTATCTGTAGAGTCAAGCTCGAGTTGCCTCCCAGCGATTACATCGTGCACGTTTGACGGTCACAGTTGCTTGGGTATGGGCCAAGGGGGGTGTGTGGGAGGGGGTGTGAGGGCTGCATTCGGAGGTGGGATCAACAAAATAAAATGTGTTATAAAAACGGCGACTCATGTGACTGCATCACAAAATTGAGCAGAGTGCGGTCGACTAATAAATGAGGTGGTATTGAAACTGTTATACGGTCACAGCCAATTACTGTTATACAATATAAATTATAACAGTATGACACTTAGTGAAACAAATAAATTTAAACTCAACAGCTGACAGCTGCTTCTGTGAGTTTTTACGCTGTTATACTGCTTTCCGAATTGTTATACAGTCTAAAGCAGGTCAGCTGCTCTATTGTTCAACTAAAAGTGGTTTTCTTATAAGTGTTATACTATCTGATAACCTTTACATCGTTCGCTAGTGTTATACAGATGTTATACTAATCTATATACCTGTTATAAGGTCTATATCTAAAACTTGTTCTTTGTATACCAAATTAAGTTATACAACTGTAATTGCACTCTTGCTAAAACTGTTATACTTAAATGCCCAACTATTGTATTTAACCTTTGTTGACTTCAATATGTGCAAAGTGTCATACCGATCGATCGATCGATCGATCAATAACGTTAGACTAATAACTGTATTGCCCACTTAGCAATCAATTTTAATATCTACCAGAAGAGCTTACCCCTGCTCAAGTGCGAGTGTCTATCTGTGTCTATCTATGTGTGTGTGTGTGTGCACGTTCTCAGATAAGCTTCTCACTATGGTCGATTGCTAAAACAAAAGTCTGCCCACTCAATTATATATATATATATATTCGTATGTATAACACACTGAAACTATTATATGCGAAATTGTGAGGCGCATATTCTACTCGCAGACCTAATGAATCGTTTGTGTGGGTGTGTGTATGCATGTGTATGTATGTGTGTGGGTGTGTGCTTAGTTCTATTGACTAACAACTCGAATGGAACTGAGGGCAATTTATGAAAAGCTCGCAGCGCACAATTCACACCTCGTACCTTGACCAGCCTTGACTTTTCTCATAAATCTAAATTAGACATAGTTATAACATTTTATTACTACTATTATACTATTATTTGTTGTCGCTTTTCCTATATATCATCAAAGATATGTGTGAATATATACACATGCAAGGCCAGACTGAAAAGCCTAGCCTAACGACCCAGTAACCGATATCATTATTTATCACAATTGCCTTTGATTGGTATCGATGTTAAATGCGAACTATTTGGCCCGCTCGGTATATGCGTAGATCGGTCATTGAACATATTGACACCTTAGCGCCTTATTCATTAGCAATTCGCCATGGGCAATGGTCAATGCCCATTTCAATAAATAGAACGAATGCCCATCCATTCGTTTCGATACGCTCCAATTTTCGTTTGGGGGTGCGACGCCACTTTCAAGGCTAAATGCACAGTAAGCACGAAAAAAAAGCACAAATAAGAAAAAAAAAAAAACAAGGTTGAGTTCCAAAACATTCTCGAAATATAGCGAGGAGTGCCATAGACAGACAATCTGATAAGCTCCACACAAGGCAGGGGAACCTGCCTGAACCTGTGCAACATTCTTACCCAAAATGTGTTAAGGCACAGAGGAGCATTTTATTTGGGACTGAATGACTAATAGTTGCCCTATAATGAGTCTGCATTCACTGTATAAATATCGATAGGAACCTAGACATATGGATATACCAGTATATACGAGAAAAAGAACTTGTTGTAGTTTATTCTTATCTAGCAAGTACGTTCCTTATATACCTAACAATCTAGTTGAACATGTGAATCATATAGTCAGCTCTTGCTACTGCTTGATTTATATAGGTGAACATTCTATTAATCTACCGCATTCTCTATATAGCTGAATATTCTCATATATCTGATGGATTTGATTACCTTTAAACATTTTCCCTTCTACTGACAATTTTTCCTAGTTAGGATAATCGTTAAACGTATACTTTATTTTTATACCTATTTAAATTTCTATTGCAAATGCCTTCATCAAATAAAATACCTTTAAATTCCCTTTAATTAATAGGCATTGGGCTCTAGGCATTTCAGGTTTAGTAACTTCATTAATTGGACTGCTTCAATTAGTACAGTTTCACAGTAATTCACTTAATAGCTAAATAATTGCTTGACTTCATCAAATGGCACTTAATTCCGCCACAGATTTGATCGGGTCCAAATTGGTTCTAATTATTCAGTTCCGCTTTGGTTCCCCTAAGCCTTAACTGACTCGAAATAAGCTCTTTTATTAGGGAGGATTAGTCATAATTGTAGGATTCGGTATTGGGCTTCATAGCTTATCTGTTATAAAAGTGTTGTCTACACACACACTAACAGACTGTTATATATGCTAATAAGTACTAATACTATTTGCTCTTATATAGGTACTCTCCATTTAGTTACATCGAATAACAATTGAGGTGCACATTCTGTTATACACTAAACTTGTCTATCCAACAAGTTATTATATACCATCTATTCGCATTCCCGCACTATTATTCTTACATATACATTCTATTTATACTTACATATACATTCTATTGTATACATTGCTATTTCCATTGCTATCTATTACTTCAGTCATATCTAGCAACTGTTATACATATTGGTATACATATTCGGTGCATTTAAGCATGCTGTTATACACAATCTTAATGTTTGTAAATTTAATATTCACCGTATTATATTGAAGTTATTCATAACTAACTACTGTTATACAGACTGGTATACATGATGACCCACATAATCCCTATGCTTATTTACATACAAAGTAGAGCTGTTATATTATTATTATTATATATAATTTATTCAAATTGATCAACTGTTATACACATTGATATACATCATTCATAGCATTCTTGATGTTTGGGCATCAGCTATTGGTAGTGCGTTGTACTCTGTACGTCACCTTATTCTGTTATACGGTTTATTATCTGACATTCAATCAATGCCACCCACTGTTATACACGCCGAATTGCGAGTAGCTACGCTAACAGTTTCAGTTAGCACTCTCCCACCACCATTCACTATCACTGTTCTACAATCGTACGTGTCCACGCCCATTCACGCATACTGTTATATAAAAGCCACTCAACTCCGGCCGGCCCTTGACGGGCCCGTACGGCTCTCCTTTTGGGCTGACCTTGCCCTTAGACTGACTAGCCCTGACCTTTTGGGCAACGAGCACATTTGCGGCTAATGAAGTCATCCATCGCAGCGTTGGGTTTCCGACTCGTATTAAATATCATAATCCCGCATTTCGTGCAAATGAAAAATGCAACTGAAAATGAAATCATTTAATGGATTTTAATCGAAGCTGAATTGTGAAAATTTAACTTTGGGTTGGGGGCATACGATTCCAAAATGTATTTTTTTTTGGAATTGCATTGCCTCTATATATTTATGTATGTATGTGTGTGTGTGTGTGTGTGTTGGAATGTATGTATGAGTATGTGTGTATGTGTGTATTCGTTATGCTCATATACAAATATATATATATTTTGGTATTTATCTCTATCTATATATACACATATGTGTTGAGCAACAATTATTTGCGATTCTTCCTCTTGCCACGCGCCTTGCACTTTCGCCGCCTCTTGGCCAGGGACTCATTTCCGATGCTCTCGGCTTGACTGATGCAACTGATGCCGCCGCTGACGCTGTCGCTGATCTCGTTCTTACTGCTGTTGGTTTTGCTGATGTTGATGTTGTTGTTGTCAATGTTGTGGGTGTTATTGATGCTGCTGGTGTTGTTGTTGGTGTTGGTGTTGTTATTGCTGCTATTGTTGTTGCTGTTCTTGTCGTCGTCCAGCTGAAAGGTAACGGTCTTAGGAGAACTAACAATAGGCTCAATATCCTCATAGGTAATCGCAGCTATAACCGCCTTCTCATCCACCTCTACCCGAGCACCCTTCACAGCAACCCCATCTTCGCTTTCACTTTCAGCACCGTCAGCTGCTGCTGCTGCTGCTGTTGCTGCTGCTGTTGGTGTTGGTTTTGGTGCTGCTGTTGTTGGCCTTGTTGTTGCTGTTGCTGTTGGTTTTGCTTTTGTTTTTGCTTTTGCTGACGGTGTTTGATTAGACCTTGGGGACGGTTCCACAGAGCCAGCGCACATGCGTATGGGTGCATGGTAGGAGATATGGGCGCCAACAACACTGCTGAGTCGCGTCGCATTCGGCTGGAAATCAATTAGCATGGGGCGTGGCTGCACCTGTTTTTTACCGTGGGCCAACAATTGCTTTTTCTGCGCCTCGATCAGCTGCCGCTGCTCCTCAATCAGTTTCTGTTGCTGCTTGAGCATTTCAATTTGTTTGGCCTTCTGCTCGGCGGCCTCGGCTTGTCGCAGCTCGGACTTTTCGAGCATCAGTTGCTGCTGCTGCTGCTGCTGCTTCAGGCGCTGCTCGTTGGCCAGCAGCGATTGCTGCTGCTGCACCACAATTCGGCGGCCCAGCTGATCGGGCATCGGATGCTTCTTCAGCTGGTTTATGAGCGGCAAATACTTGACATCCACAACAATTGGCGGCGGCATATCAAAGGCGGACTCCTGCTCGGTTTCGCCATCATCGATGTCGTTATCGCTGCTGATCTTGGGCATCGATGGCTCTTGGTCTGGCTGCGACTCCTGCTCCAGTTGCTGATCCGACTCGGTTTCCAGCTCTGTTTCCTGATCCAGCTCCGTTCCCTGCTGCTGGCTCTGCCCCGACTCCTGCTCCTGCTCCTCCATTTTGTCCAGCAACTCGCTTTTGCTCTCGCTCAGCCCCTTCTTGCTGCTGCTGCTGCGACGCGAGTGTCGCGCTCCTGCAACCTGATTCGCCTGATTCAACCGCCGCACCATCGGACGATACAGATAGCGTATGGGCAGCGGCTTCTTGCCGCGCGCCAGAGGCTTCGACACAAAATGCTGATAGCTTATGTCGATGCCATCCTCAATGGTCTTGGGCACCTTGTGCTGCTCCACTCGCACGATTTTCGGCGCACACCCTCTGCTGGCCGGCGCCGCTGTTACTCCTGCCTTCCTTCGATGCTCCTCCTGCTGCTCCCTTGCTGGCCTTGCAGTCGCCAGCTGCTGTGGCTGCTGCTGCTGCTGCCGCTGTTGCTGCTGCTGTTGCCGGATTTGCAGCCGATTGCTCATGTAGTGGGGCGAGCTGGGCCTCAGTGAGGTAGCTGCTGCGGCTGCTGTTGCGGCTGCTGCTTTTGCAGCTTTTGCTGCTTTCGCCGCTGCTGCTGCTTTTGCAGCTTTTGCTGCTGCCTTTGCGGCTGATGTCCTGATTGGTGCACGCGTTGGCGTGCGCGTTTGCACCTCGGGCATTATTTTGATGACCGTCGACGTTAGCTTAAGGCTCTTGCTGTTGCATTTAAAGGTGCGCGGCGTGTCGTAGGTCTCGCTGTTCGACCAGTTGTCGCTGCTGCTGTTGCTGCTACTGGTACTGCTACTGCTGCTACTACTGCTGCTGCTGCTGCTGCTGCTGCTGCTGGCCACGCCCATAGTCGTTTGATAGTCAGAGTGGCTGGAGGTGCTCTGGCGTTGAGCCAACGCTGGCGCTGCAGACAACTGACTGTTGTCGATGGACGCCATCGGCTCAGCGATCTCCGCTGTGTGCTGCTGCTCCTGCTGCTTGGAACTACTTATGCAGGTCGCATTTTGATCGTGCGCCTGATTCACCTCCGAGGAGGACTCGCTGCACTGGCGAAAATTGCTCTGAGGCAACAGCAGCCATTTCGTCTTTGCCGGCGCAGCGCGCATTCGCAGCGTCCGACGTCCGCGCGGCGCATGCCTCCGACAGGTGCAGACGTGGCCGTTGCCGTTGCCGTTGCTGCTTCCTGCTGACTTGTAGTCCGAATCGGTATTGGTGTCGTCAGCGCCTCCCGCATTGCTGCGATTGCAACTGCGATGGTTGAGCGTAGCTGTGGCATTTGCTTTTTTGGGCGCCACCTCCTGCTGCTGTTGCTGCTTTTGCTTCTGCTGCTGCTGCTGTTGCTTCTGCTGCTGTTGCTGCTGTCCGATCTTGTACGGGCGCTTGCTGCTCGCGCTGGCATTGGCCGCTGCCCTGTTCAGGCTGCCGACGACCTTGCTCGTCATTAGCGCTGTGCGTCGCGCAAACTGCTCCGCGGTGAGCGAGATGGCCGGCGCCTTGGAGTGGGCGGTGCGTCGTTTGGCACTTTTCGATTTGGGATCTCTCGATATTGGCTGTCGCATGGTCGCCCCGTACCGTGCGCTGGAGAGCAGGCCACCGGCGCCCTCGCCAGCGCCCAGGGCCATGGAGCCATAGAAGGCGTTGGAGCCAACGCCTCCGACTCCCGCAATGAATTTCGACCTTTCTAAAGACATTCGCTTGTTAGCTGAATTAAATTAAATTTGAATACGAAATCTTTTGTATTCGGCCCTCGATTAGATTCTAAACGATTATCTTCTATATACATATATATATAAATATT